TGTTCCTTAGTGGGTCAGCGCTAAGTTTACGGACTTGCAACGCTAAAAACCGGAGTTCGATTCAACGTGGTAACTTTACACTAAAACAACCAAACTCGTTCAAACCACATTAAGTTTCTCGTGTTCCTCAGTAGGTCAGCGCTAAGTTTACGGACTTGCAACGCTAAAAACCGGAGTTCGATTCAACGTGGTAACTTTGCACTAAAACAACCAAACTCGTTCAAACCACACTCAGTTTCTCGTGTTCCTCAGTAGGTCAGCGCTAAGTTTACGGACTTGCAACGCTAAAAACCGGAGTTCGATTCAACGTGGTAACTTTGCACTAAAACAACCAAACTCGTTCAAACCACACTCAGTTTCTCGTTGAAAGGTAGTAGTGGTTTTTATAGTAGAAGGTAGAAGTTGTAAAGAAAATAACACAACTAATAACTTAATAATAGTATAATTTGTTTAAGATGCAGAAGTACATTATAGGTATAAGTTTGCAATTTCAGTAATGTCTTAATAGAAAAATAATAATAATAATAAGTAAGTAGTACCCATTGCTTACTTAGACATTCGTAATAATTAGAACTGTCTTATCCAGAGATTATAAAAGTTTCAGTAAACATTCAATTTCAATGATGGGACTCGTGTTTCAGTAACGTTTACGCATAAATATTTAGCAGTAATAGAATTGTTATTTGACTATTAAAGAAATGTGGACTTTGGTAAGCTTTAAGGATATTTCCTTTGTTACAATGTTAAACATCTACGAACATATGTGTACACTTTAAGGGAAGAAATATCATAAATATAGAAGTCATTGAAAATGTAGAAAAAATCAAAATGTTTCGTCAGCGTTTTCGATATAAACAAAAACATCCAGAAAAATGTAAAGTTTGTTCTCAGTTAATTAAATTAATTGCTGTTTAAATATTTTTCTTTATTTTAAAGTAACTTCAAACAGAAATTATAACGACATATTATGAATATTTAAAACAAAGAATATTGTGAAATTAAATCTACTAGAAAAGCATATTAAAAATTAAATACAGCATAACATATATGATAATTATTAACAACTAGCTTAATGTATATTATAAATGATGCATACTCTTTTCTGTTATAATTTAAAATAAATCCCGTGTCTAAAAGTGATCTCATGAATGTAATAAATAAGTTGAAAGATATACTTCTAACCTAGTAAATTGTTATTGTGTTAACATTCTAACAAAAAAATGCAACTTGGAATTATAAACTTTTTCAAGTACGGTCAAAGAGTAGTAATGAGTGAAGCCTTATATTTGGACAATAAATCCAATTCTAACGAAGTTTTTATAGCTTTTTAGGTTGGACTGATCACGAAAAGGAATTTAACCATAAAACTGATATATATTAATGTTTATATAACTGTAATGTTTTGTATTTGAATTTCGTATCATATTATTATTACAGTAAAACTGATATATTAATGTTTATATAACCGTAATGTTTTGTATTTGAATTTCGTATCATATTAATATTATTACAGTAAAACTGATATACTAATGTTTATATAGTTTATACAGTTTATAATATTTATGCAGTTAATATGCACTTTTGTTTAGGTAATCTTTTACTCAACAGAACATCAACCGACGATTTGGGTTTAAGCAGACAATGACTAGCCCAAGAATTCATGGTGAGTGCTATTTCACTAACCCTGATAGACTAGAGAGAAGATAGTTAGTGATACTTTGGGGCTGATAGACTAGAGAGAAGATGATAGACTAGAGAGAAGATAGTTAGTGATACTTTGGGGAACCCCAAAGTATTACTAATTATCTTCTCTCTAGTCTATCAACCCCAAAGTATTACTAATTATCTTCTCTCGAGTCTATCAGCCCCAAAGTAGGGACAAAGATACCCAGATATCTCTTATGTTGCTTTTTGCGAAATTCAAAAACAAATATTTTTTGTTCTCCCCTTTTCATTCTACGTATTCTGTGTATGTGAAATACGTTGTTATTTTGCGATAAATATAAGATTAATTAATATAGAAGGTTTTCAGATTTGTAATTTTGGACTTAGGAATTATAGCTACTTCTTAATTTTCTAGTTCCCAGTTTTTGATGTCAGTATACCTTATGTATATTTGGGTGTAACTGTAACTTCTTGTTATCTCCCTCTCTCCTCTTTTCTCTATTTATATCCACAATGTAAAGTGTGTCTACACTTTCTTGTTGAAATTAATTTTGTTTCCTAGTTAATCTTCTCAAAACTAATTGAAAGTAGATAATTAATAGTAACCTCTGATCAAAGGAAGCTACCAGCAGAGATCAGAACTCAAAATAAACCCACTAATGAGAATAGTTAATTAAATATGCTGTTTCTACGTTCTTACTTATAAAGGTTAGAATGCATAATGGAAATAGGAGAACTCTAGGGACTGTGCATCCTAAGTATTCTGTTAGGTACATTTAAATATGTGATATGCACATAGCTCAGAAGAGGCAAAAAAATCCTAAAAGCTTTTTTGGATACGCTAGTGCAATACATAATAATATGTAATATAACTTCCCAGTCCTCAGTAATGTAAAGTAAGTACTTTAACAGGTTTATAACACGTATGCTAAATCCGAATGTGGTTGTATTCTTATTGGTGAAAAATATACAAAAGCGAATCTTTTACTTTGATAAGCTAGTGGTCTTATGTCTAAACATATACACTATGTGTGTATTTCTAGACTGGTGTTTGACATTTATACAGTGTTTTATATTTTTGTATATATTCTAATATGATTATTCTACATTCGCATCTACCATTTTGAATTAATAAAGTACACTGTTTCTGAAAGTGTTGTGAATACGATTAATCAATCATGTAAACACATTGTGGCATATAACTTATAAGTGTTTAAATTTAGTATCTTTGAATTTATTATTCAGCTTTTTATCTTTACAACCTCTTATTTTCTCTGATACGAATGAGTGAATACCTAGAGTTTAGTGTACGGAAGAACGATATACGATGGCCCTACAGAGTACTGAATATTTTTTATTTGGCTGTACTCGTAATAAAAACGTCTTAAACGACTTAAATAATGCAAAAGTAACTAAAATCAAGTATTAGTTTGGAGCGTAATATAACAATCCCGTGTGCCAGCCAGAAATATCTCTCTATTAAGTTTTATAGCTTGTGACTAAAAACAGAATATGTACGAAAAACAAGCCATCTCTACATTACTGTATACATAGAATAAATATAAATTAACACTACAAGCCATCTCTACATTACTGTATACATAGAATAAATATAAATTAACACTACAAGCCATCTCTACATTACTATGTACATAGAATAAATATAAATTAACACTACAAGCCATCTCTACCATACTGTATACATAGAATAAATATAAACTAACTCTACAAGTCATCTCTACATTACTGTATACATAGAATAAATATAAATTAACACTACAAGCCATCTCTACATTACTGTGTACATAGAATAAATATAAATTAACACTACAAGCCATCTCTACCATACTGTACACATAGAATAAATATAAACTAATTCTACAAGTCATCTCTACATTACTGTATACATAGAATAAATATAAATTAACACTACAAGCCATATCTACATTACTGTGTACATAAAATAAATATAAACTAACCCTACAAGCCATCTCTACATTACTGTGTACATAGAATAAATAGAAACTAACACTACATGCCATCTCTACCATACTGTATACATAGAATAAATATAAACTAATTCTACAAGTCATCTCTACATTACTGTATACATAGAATAAATATAAATTAACACTACAAGCCATATCTACATTACTGTGTACATAGAATAAATATAAACTAACCCTACAAGCCATCTCTTCATTACTGTATACATAGAATAAATAGAAACTAACACTACATGCCATCTCTACCATACTGTATACATAGAATAAATATAAATTAACACTACAAGCCATATCTACATTACTGGGTACATAGAATAAATATAAATTAACACTACAAGCCATATCTACATTACTGTGTACATAGAATAAATATAAATTAACACTACAAGCCATCTCTACCATACTGTACACATAGAATAAGTATAAACTAACACTACAAGCCATCTTTACCATACTGTATACATAGAATAAATATGAACTAACACTACAAGCCATATCTACCATACTGTACACATAGAATAAATATAAACTAACTCTACAAGCCATCTCTACCATACTGTATACATAGAATAAATATAAACTAACACTACAAGCCATCTCCACCATACTGTATACATAGAATAAATATAAATTAACACTACAAGTCATCTCTACATTACTGTATACATAGAATAAATATAAATTAAAACTACAAGCCATGTCTACATTACTGTATACATAGAATAAATATAAACTAACCCTACAAGCCATCCCTTCATTACTGTATACATAGAATAAGTAGAAACTAACATTACAAGCCATCTCTACCATATTGTATACATAGAATAAACAGAAACTAACACTACTGTGTTTTTCTCTTATTTTCAGATACGCTAAGCTTTTAAATTACGTTTTATGCAAGCAGTTTCGTGTGAACAAGCAAAGCTAATTCAATTTTATTTGCATATCCAAGTTATGTGCCCCATTTATTTCTAACATTAGGTTTTAAAATTACAAAGAAAAACTTAAGATAATTAATCCAGAGGCATGCTTTCCATTTATACACACATATTTTATGGTAAATACTCTTCAGCTTTCCAGGTAACAGAAACTTCTTTCTCAGGAAGAGTAATAGTCTTATGGGATGTTGAACGTAATATCTCTGCATTTCCTAGTAGGATACTACTCAGTGCATACAAAACAGAAACAGTGATTTACTGAGTAGGATACTACACAGTGCATACAAAACAGAAACAGTGATTTACTGAGTAGGATACTACACAGTGCATACAAAACAGAAACAGTGATTTACTGAGTTGGAAAAGAAGTCGAAATAAATTATCAACTTACTTTCTTCCGAGTTTTCAATTTCTGCTTCGTACCCAAATATGAGCCGATGACGCTCCAGCAAAACACTGAGAAATAACCAGATTAGACCTGTCATTTTCATGTTGTTAAGATAAACGTTAAACTTTCGAAGGAAGTTCTTAATGGAGGCCATGAGAATAACCTGGAAGGTAATGTTGTGTCAACTGAGAAACCATGAATGTGAAATACTCCTATTTGAAGGAGTGGTGTTTACCTCCGTTAAGTTAGCTGAATACTCCTATTTGAGGGAGTGGTGTTTACCTCCGTTAAGTTAGCTGAGCCGCAACCATCAAATGGATTTCTTTTAGCAGCCACATTTAACATAAGCGTGAAAGAACTGTATTTAGGTGTATTAAACACGCGCCGTCCGTTAGAAGCGTCATCTCCTCTAGAAATGAGGCGCACATGCCCCGCGTGATAACTTGAGCTAGCCAGCCAAATTATTGATTTACCTATAGAGGGCGTGACGTCATTACTGTCGCAAGTGTCCAAGATTTTAATTTAAAGATTAAAATGCTCTTAGTAACTAAACACTTATTTAATTAAATCTATTCAAGGTCAAACATTTTACACTCAGTACAGGAATATTTGTTGTTTATTATCCTTAACCTTCTATAGCTAGTAAAGAGTAAATACTTTTCCCATTAAGTGGAACTGTTAAAAACTTACAGGTATGAAAATGCTGAGTTTCGGTTTAATCGCAAAGCTACATAAGCTAAGCTGTGCCCATCACAAAATCATAATCCCAAGTTTTAGAGTTATAAGCCCTCAAGCTTACCAGTGAGCTACAAAGATGTGCATGTGCTGAGAAAATAACCATGTGCAAGAGATACCATAACTTTGAAAATAATGTTATATGTTTTATTGGTCGCTCTAAGGGTTTGCAAATGGTATTTAATACATAACAGTAAATGCTGGTTTAAAGACTGACATTGAAATTAAAAGAGAATATTGAAAACCCATAGGTATTATTTTATGTTTTGACAGCCATAGGTATTATTTTATGTTTTGACAGCCATAGGTAGTATTTTATGTTTTGACAGCCTATAAAATATATTCAGTAATTACCTACTCTTTTATTCACTAGAAAATTCCCTTTTAACCTATTCACACAAGACAAACGCAAAATATTATTATTTTTCGAATGAAAAACAGTTGTGAAAAATATTGACAAAAAATGTTGGTATATGGAAAATTTGCTTGAAGTATCTTATCTTACTGCTTTTAGCTATATTCCAAGAAATGTAAAGAAAAAGTATTTGATTTATTTATTTTGCTTTTATTTCTAACTTGAATTAAGGAAGTTCAATTTTTATCTTACAAAATAAAATTGGCAAATGTCTTTCACGCTTCTTGTTCAAACAGAATGTAGACGTTTTCCTTCCCTCGCACACACCAGACAATCATACAAGGATTACAGAGATAAAAAATTGAATACAAGAGATTTGTGGAATTATCTAAGTCTGTTAAACAGCATTTAGATATGAAAATCGAGTTGTGTAGCTAATATAAAACCCAATCATGGATTCCAGACGAACAGTTTCTATTTAGCTTCTTGAAATGAGGTGTCTTTTGTTTGAAGTAACAAAGTATAGAACAACACATATGTTTGTGTAGCTAATATAAAACCCAATCATGGATTCCAGACGAACAGTTTCTATTTAGCTTCTTGAAATGAGGTGTCTTTTGTTTGAAGTAACAAAGTATAGAACAACACATATGTTTTATGTGAAATAAATTTCGGGATTTCATTTATCTTGGTAATATCTCTTTCAATTTAACGTTTTCCATTCTTTAAAGTAGGAATAAGTGCAGTAACATTTTAAATTCATGAAAAGTTCTTGATTTGATATAGATGATGAGAATGTTTAAAGTAGTAAACATTAAACCTTTGATAGAAATTAATCGTTTATATTCTATTAAGAACAACAACAACAAAACCAGATTTATGCTTCAGTTACAATAAACATTAAACCTTTGATAGAAATTAATCGTTTATATTCTATTAAGAACAACAACAACAAAACCAGAATTATGCTTCAGTTACAATTTTGTTCTTATCTAATCATTTCCTCACAATATGGCTGATTTAAAAAACACCATCTTTCAAACAGTTATTTTCAAGTTTTTAGAGCGCACATTCTTATTTGTTTAATATACACAAAATTCTAGATGTTAACGTTTCGTAAAATGACATAATTTGTTATGATATGTAAATTAATGTACGAATTCAAAAGTTTACTTAAAATATTTCTAACTGGAGTAATATTTATTTTTTCTGGATAGCTTTGGTATATAAAAGATTGAATATTGTTGTATGAATAAAAGAACAATATTAATAATGCTGAACTATATATATGAAAAAAAAACATTATTGTACTAGAAATATTAGGTAGCCAATTATTATTTCCTGAAAATATAAATTACATGGCTTTAAACCTTTTTCCAAAGTAGTTTGGGTAATTAATCTTTTTCTTCTGCTTTGTAGATTATAAGTGCAAAACGTTGTTTCATCTCTCATTTTCTTCGAGCTCAAGTGATTTGTACTTAAAGCTCGAGTTATCTATCAGGAAGTATGTGTAGGTATTATTTGACAATTAGTGTTACGTCTTTTAACAGATGGGATGCTTAACTCAGCTGAGCGAAGGTGTTATTGGAGTTTAGTTTTCTGAAACAAAAGAACGCAAGTCTCTATAGAGATTTGAGTCGTACGTGAACAAAAGATTACCAATCATAAACTTCATTTTGATCGAATTATTTTTAGCAGTAAGGTAGAAAAAAAACTTTCTTTATTAAATACAAAATCCTGCTACATCATTCTTTACCAGTTTATCTCATTTTATAAAATATTCGTTTTGTTTAACGTTTTGTAACTAACGAAATATACAATTACCAGTTTGTAGTATGGTGAAATAGGTTTTGTTTTATGGATATATTCCACTACTTATTCAAGCCAATGTATCGCGTCACCGATATAGTTAACTGTTGATATAACTTCACCTACTTTTCTGTAATTAGTTAATTGTCACAAAGTCCATGTTATTTCTTTTGTTAAGCTTATAATTAGAAAATTATTACAGTTTTCTAAAATTAAAATGCGACTAATTATATTTAAATACTTATACTTATTATTTGGAATATACTTTAGTTCTGATCTATGTAGTAGCTTACTTTGATCAGAAGTATATTTTAATTATAGCTGTAAAAATAGCCTAAGGTTACGTTGGGTTTACTACTATCATACTATATTAAAATATTAGTGTTAAATGTTAAAATAATGTTAACTCAACAAACATCTTTACTTAAACGTATGAGATCTGCAGTGGTTCGTTTTCCTTTGTTGTGTTTTTTGAATTTCACGCAAAACTACACGAGGACTATCTGCGCTAGCCGTCCCTAATTTAGCAGTGTAAGACTAGAGGGAAGGCAGCTAGTCATCACCACCCACCGACAACTCTTGGGCTACTCATTTACCGACGAATAGTGGGATTGACCGTCACATTATAACACCCCCACGACTGAAAGGGCGAGCATGTTTGGTGGGACGGGATTCGAACCCGCGACCCTCAGATTGCGAGTCGAGCGCCCTAACCACCTGGCCATGACGGGCCTCCTTTGTTGTGTTACGTTGTTATTTTATCGTCTGCTTTTATTATCAGACTTGGATTAATTCCTTGAATTTCATTAGTGTTTTTTATTCCTTTGCTGTGTTATGTTTTTATTTTATCATCTATTGTTATTATCAGACTTGGATTAATTTTTTTAAATTCCATTAGTGTTTTTCATTCCTTTGTTGTGTTATATTGCTATTTTATCGTCTGCTGTTATTATCAGACTTGGATTAATTCCTTGAATCTCATTAGTGGTTCATATTCCTTTGTTGTGTTATATTATTATTTTATCGTTTGCTGTTATTTTCAGATTTCGATTAATTACTTGAATTTCATTAGTGTTATTTATTCCTTTTTTATGTTATGTAATTATTATATTGTCTGCTGTTATTATCAGACGGATTAACTCCTTGAGTCCCATTAGTGGTTAATATTCCTTTGTTGTGTTATGTTGTTATTACCAAACTTGGATTAAGTCCTTGAATTTTATCAGGTTTTTTTTATTCCTTTGTTGTATTTTTAGTTTATCGTCTATAATTATTCGTGCGACACAAAATATTGATTTTACAAGTTAACATGTTGAAAAACCTGTTCCATCTAGTTTGATAATATTATTTTCAAATTAATCATAATATACTACGCTACTGAATCTAAGATCATGAAGCAAAAAATAATATTTGATGATGAATTGTATGTTTGTGAGACAAAGAATAAATTATTTAATATGCTAATTTTCACTCTCGTATTGATTTTATGATTGATATAAATATTAACTTTTTATAATTTATATTTTTTAGGTGATTTTCCATAATCAAACAATTTTCGACATTTTCCCGTTTAAAATTCCAGGAAATAATTCTTAAGAAAAATAAAAGATTGATCATAATGATTTAACCATTTGTAGAGTTAATCATAAGAAGGTAGGACAGGTGATAAGAAATACACAGTAGTTAACAAATAAATGTTAAATTTTCTACTTAATAATATAATATATTTAAGAAAGGTTTGATAATTTAGTAAACGCATAATATAAGCTTCCGACTACTGTTACTGAATATATTAATTAATATAATAAGAACTAACTATACTGGTTATCATAAGAATATTGAATAATTAATAATATTTTATTTTGAAACGCTCAGTACCTTTGTTCGTTTCGACATAAAAATTGAGTTTGTGATTCATGCAGTAAAACAATCACTAGAACAACTATAGCCAATCATAAAGTGGAATATAAGAAAAGCTTTATTAACTATATTACTTTTAGGCTACAGATGGTTTAATTAGTGTTTTGATTTGAAATTCATAACGAAGTAATTAAGGGCAATGAATCGTTTCTTGAATTATGTTTCTTAAATTTATAGAAGGCAAAGATACCCATAAAGGTGTGCCCCGTTTTGTTTAAGGAACGAAACTATTACATAACACCTAGCTTATGTTGACACAAAATCTGTTGCAGTCATAACTTGAAGCAGTGTACTGAAGACTTCAAAAGATATATACTCAGTTAAAGCAATAATCTTGATCATGAGTTTTTCTGTCACGCATGAATTATAGAATTAGTCAACAAATTTTTAGGAACTTCAAATTAAATCAAATAGTTTCATGTAAGATGCATGTTTGGCATTTTAAATATTCCTCTATTGTTGTTAGAATGTTGATTAAAAACAATTTTAAATGTATGATATGTGATATGTCTTTTTTTTTCAAAATAACGATGTTTCTTTCAAACTTTTAAACGTAGGC